AGGGTGGAACGAGATGAGCTTTAAGGTCCCTTCCAGCCCAATGCAGTCTCTGCTTCTGTGATTTTGTGATTTGCACACAGAGGGCTGGGAATAGGGCTTGCCTTAGCCATGCTGGGGGGACTGGATGGAGCCCATATGGAAGGGGTGTTCCACAAAAACCTTCAGTTCTATGTGTTCAAATTTAAAACTTAGAGGAAAATCATCCCCCAGCTACTCCTTTCCCCAAAGGCAAACCCCCACTAAAACTCTGAAATTATGCCAGAGATATTTTAGCACTGAAGCTGCCGGTGCAGGACTGCTCCCTGCCATGGTTTTGGGTGCTGGCTTCTGCCTCCAGAATCTCAGCGTCCTTCTGGCCTTCCTGCAACCACCTTCAGCCTCCTCAGCTCTGGCACTGCTTGCTTCCATTCTGGCAGGGGGATGCTGGCAGCAGCATTCCCTGCCTGTGCCCTGCTGCTCCCTGCAATGCCAGCTTTGCCTGCAGGGCTAAGTTCACAGCCCATTTTCCAGCCAGCACCTGAATTTCCACCATTCTACTTCATCTGCTGAGCCTGACCTGCCCCCCCGGCTGTGCCCTCCTGGCAGGAGCTGTGCAGAGCTCAAAGTCCCCCCTGAGCCTCCTTTGCTCCAGGCTGAGCCCCTTCCCAGCTCCCTCAGCCCCTCCTGGGGCTCCAGCTCCCTCTCCACCCTTTCCTCACTGGAGCTGTGCTTCCCTGGTTTCCCACACCATGGAAAGGTCCCAGAGGAAATGTCACCAGCAGATTTAAAATGACATCGCTGCAGAAATTGTGCCATGAGCCTGATGCCACCACTCAGCCCCTGTGTCCCCATCCCCTGCTCTAGCAGCAGCTGCTATCTGGCTTTTATTTTCAGGTTTTATTGCTCTGAGATCACAGGCTGTGCAAGGAGGGTGTTTCTAACTATCCTTCTCTTACTGAGACGATGTGTGGCTTGATTTTATGTGGTTTTCTGATGGCTTGTGCTTTCTGCCTGTGCAAAGCCTTTCTGCTTTATGGACTCAGGCCAGTTTGGCCAATGCCACTCACACCCTCTGCAACCACCCGGCCTCCTATCCCAGACACCTGGGAGTGTAATCACTCCTAAAAAAAACCTCAGCCGTGAAGAAAATGTTTAATTTTGCATCTCAGCACATGCAAAGGCCCCAGTGTCCCAGCAGGGCATTAGCCAAAGCTGGCCCTCCTGCAGGATGCATCTCCACAGGGAAGTGCCTTTCTCCAGGCCGTGCTGGCCCAGGGCGATGCCGACGCTCTCTGGGCTCACCGGGA